TCGGTTTGAGATTTTTACCAAAAGATGCAGCTCGTAAAACTGGACAAGAATATCACCAAAAAATTCAAGTTTTCTCATATTTTCTTGGTGAATTTTACATTATATGTTGAAATGTCCATCCAGTTTTACTTTTCTAACAGGTCATTCCAAATCTGGAAAAAAATAGAAGTATTATATGTTTTTTGATTCCTTACAGCATCGACTAAGCATCTTACAGAGGCTGGACAAGCAACATCTGTCAACTAGCCAATTTCACCTTAAAAACACTACTCTCTACGGACTTTTCTGATTGTAAAAGCCCAAAGTGTCTCCCACAAGATTAGTCGACAAGGAAACACGTTTTTGTCCTTTCTAGGAAATTTTTCCAGCACTCGTAGATTGTGGGTAGTTTTATTGGATTGGGCATGCCGAGATCTATCAAAAGATGTGCCACACTTCCACTTTTTAATAAAAAAACAAACCTTTCATTTTTCCAGTTTTCGCTGTATAGCTGATGGAAAGTGTTACTACTGCATCTCTGCGAAGAAAGGTCAAATCGTTGGGAAATTTTTACAGTAGACCCAGTAAACTATGGCGAACAAAATGCACGCTTCAGATCTTTTTAAAAGTCACTTTCATTTTCGTCCTCCAGTTGTACAAAAAAGTTACGATTTGCTCATATATATAGATGGACTGACGCCATTCAGTTCAAAAGAAAGTCTTTTGTTTCTGTATATTGTACCCTTGATAATGATTTTTAAATAAATTACAACGTATGAAATTTAAAATTATTCCAACCGCTGTTTTAGTTTTATTCTTCTTAATAAAAAGCTCTACGCATTACAAATGAAAATGTTTAAGGCAAGCCTATCATTACCATTAAAAACCAGACAAACTTCTACATCTTTTAAGGCTAGAATAAAACTTTAAAAGTTATTCAATCAGGTTGAAAAAAAATTTGACTTTGACACCAAACTCTACTGAAACTATTCATGTCTAGACATGTCTAGACATTGAAAAACAATGGCTGTCGACTCCTCGGGTGAAAGACTTAACATCTTGAAATACAAACATACACAACTACAAATGTTATGCAGACGAAACCAAAAATACTAAGGTAGGAAGAAAGCCTTCTCCTAGTGAATGTATTTGAGACCAAGTACGTAGAAAAGTATTAGATAAAATACAAATGTACTTCATCAAGTATTTGGCAGCTAACTTGGTAAGTACTTACCACATATATACAAGCATTCGAAGTTCTTCCCACGTATTACAACTCAAAATGCTTCATAAGTGCTTAACCATTTACTTTCGAAAATTTGAAAGTGTTTGATTTCATGTACATTCACTAGGGTCAACTGTCAATATTTTTCGGAAGTTTCGTGTCGTATTCATCCAACACTAACCGCAAATTGTCTAGTCCTCCTTTATAAATGTATTAACTATCAAAATTTAAAAGATTCTTTGTCCCTTGGAATTTAACATGAGAAACGACTAGTAATTAAGGCGCATCAAGAATAGTAGCAGCGTAGATTCACTGGTACTTCGAAATCTGCATATTCGTAATCAACAGATAACAGTTAAACGCAATCATTTATATACATAGCAGTGATATATAGTTTATGACATCAAAAGGTCAATATTTTATTTAAAGTTTGATACAAACGACGATTAGATGTCTTTATCTATTACACTATTATTATTTAACTTTTCTAAAGTAATGTTTAAGTAAAACTTTCCTAGTGTCATGTACAAGGTATCATCCACTTTAATCCCATGTTCAACTAATTGTCACATTTAATGTGTTAACTGATGGTTTCTTATCATTGAAAAATGAAGTGGAAAAAATATCTGGTTTTAATTCAAATGACGATGATTCTGAATTGGAAGAGGAGCTAGAACTTGATCCAGAACTGCTTGAACTGGATTGGCTTGCCGAACCACTTGCAGACGGTGAATCTATAAAAAATTAATACCAATTGTTAGCGAACGGTGAATCTTTTCATCAGCATCACATCGCACACCGTTTGCAAAAAGCAGATCTACTACTGTGCTTCGTGAGTACTACTGGAAATGTGTAGTCTTCTACTCATTGGAAGTGAATCGTCTTGTGAAAACCACTTACTTGTAACCTCCAAAATTGTTGTCATTGTTAATGATTTGTCCGTATTTTGACAAACATATGTACCAGAATCCTGTTCCGTGGCGTTCTTAATCAATAAATTATAATTTCCTCCTTCAGTTACGATTTCATATTTTGGCTGTTTATCCGTAACAGGAAATGCTTGCCCATCTTTTATCCATGAGAAACTTTCTTTGTCTGATTTTTGATTGAATTTACATGGTACAACAACATCTTGACCAATGCTAACTGATTTAGTACTCGTGCTGTGTTCAGCTAAAATAAAACGAATCAGTCGAAAGTGGCATTCTTTTTGCATCACAAATTCATCGTCAAATGCATTTATGACAGCCGTTATGGCCTTTTCAATTGGTCATTGGAAAGATTTATGACTACAGATAGTATAGTGGCCTTTACACTTACAGTATTGTGACGATTGTTGAAATATGCTAGTTTCAGATGATTCAGATGGTAGTGTAAAAACACTTTTATTAACAAGTAGAACTAATGAGACCAAAACTACAAATTGAGTTAAACCAAACATGATGAACTAAAATGGCAAGCAAGCGATCATTTCCAAAAATTTGTCTATGTTTTTCAGAATCTTCTGTCCAAACAAGAAAGAGAGAAGTTATGTCGTTAGGATATGAACATTTTTATTATACTTAAAGGAATATGTACTTACTTTTCTAATATGTAGTGTAGTGAGTGACAGTTTTGATAGAAGTATTTCACATTGATGAGTGTGTTATTCAATTCAGCCTATTTATACTATGTTGATGAAAAGCAGTCTGAATATTGTCCGTCCACGCGGACTATGTATTAAATAAAACTATTTCTCAGCCCACCTTTTTTTTCAATGTTCAAAGTTTCTTTCGTATTGTCATACTCGTCGTAGATAACGACAGCGTATAATTGAAGAAAAATACTTGTTGATCCGGTCAAGTGAGAAAAGAGCCATTATGCATCGAAGGAACATGCAGTAAAAGTGTGTTTTAATATATTGAGGTATGCACTCTTGTTTGTTGGAAAAAATAAGGCACGTGACTATTTTTTGAATATCTCGAGAACGAAATATGGTAGAGAGTCTGTGTTTTCAACATGCAAAAGAAGAGTCTTTGGAGGACGCTTTTACAACAAATATTAATTCGAAAATAGTTTTTTAAAGTAGCTTTTTAAGGAGTACTTAGAGATTAGGTTTTTTCTTCACTGTGCACTCAAAAAACATCAGAATACTAGTCCTGGAAATTTGATACAATGTTTGAATAACTGAAAATTAAGAACTCGCTTGACTTACATTTTGAAGAGGACACTTTGGTTATCCCTTATGTAGAAAAAATGAAGTATTCGAATTGAACTTTTTGATCTATGAGTTTTCCAAAGATATTCTCAAAAACCTACATTGAAAAAACTATTAATATCTGTTGTAAAAAATGTCCTTCAAAGTCACTTTTTTTGAATGGGAAAAGCACAGACTCTATGCCACATTTCGTTCTCGAGATATGAAAAAAATAGTCACATGTCTTTTTTCGTTTAACGGACACTAGCACCAGTGAACTGGATTTCAATCGAGAGACAATTGTGTGGCAAAGGAAACCGCTGGTTTTCAGAAATCTCTTCGTTTTGATCTGTTGTGATAGGACCAAGTAGAGAATTACAAGATGCATATGCCTGGATAGTTTCTACAGTTTGCTGCTGTATGGTTGTTGAGAAAAGTAGAAAGTTTGATCAATGGGTACCGATGTGATACCTATCCAATAAAAAAATTTTGTGTCAATAATCTTCCAAATTTCAGGAAAACGCTTTTCACCGTTTAGTAGAGCAGATCATTGTGCATCTGTAAGTGTACTTGCGGTAGGATATAAATCTAAGAAGAAAGTAAAAAACTTCAAAAATGGTTCAAAAAGTAATGGTCACTAAAAATGTTTCTCCATCAACTGACTTTCAAACAAGACTGTAGTGTACCATTAGGGTCAAATATCTTTATTCGAGAACATCCATCAGGAAAACAACTAAAGAAGTTGATCTAACTGTATTGTTGAGACTTTGCATAGGTATCATATTGGTGCCCTTCGATCAAACTTTCTACTTTTCTCAACAATGAAAAACTGTATTTACGATTTTTACCATGAAGAGCGGCTTCTAGAAACCCAGCTCTAGCAAATAAAATTTTTTTTAGAGAATTAAATCGCTCGACCCTTAGAAATGCTTGCATCATAGAAAATATAGGAGTTTACTATGTTAAGAATAAACTGAGAACGATGCATTCCTTTTTCTATCTCCCAACGATATAAATTAAAATCATGTATAGACCACCCTTCATATATGGTACTAAGGAATTGGTTTGACATTCTGTTTCTAAAGCTTCCTTGGTTGTCATAGTTTTAAGTTACTCTGTTAGAACAGATACACATCTACTATATTCGATTTTATATGACATCAATAATAAAATAATTGAGCAATAACATCTGTTGAAACAAAAGCAAAACGGCTTTGTTTCATATTTGACACCATTAGTCGTAGTAGTCTCCGTCCATTTTAGCGATTAAATCACACAAAACAAAAGAAATGCTGTTAAAGAAGAAAACAAAAACTGCAACAAACGATAGGTTATTTTATCTGACCCGGAGACCAAAACTACTACGATAAAAATGCATCCATCACTGAGGAACACAAGTTGAGATCGATAAAATTGGTGAACAAATAAATAAATTTAAGCTAAAACTACTACAATCAGGTCATAATTTGGTAGATGCAGTACTTATGAGTATGGAAAATGTAAAAACAGTAAACGCGCCGCCCTGGTTCATTTTTTAGATGGGAAACGTGAGGTAGCCGCCAAGTAATAAGAAATCGAACTGATGCTCAATCAAACCACTCATATTAGCGTTCGGGACCATTCAATCGGCCCACATGCTAAACAGCATAACTATTTAAAATTCTACGAATATCAACAGAATAATAAAATAAAAGTAACCAAAATTCAGAAAAAAGTTGTTCTTTTTCATCAAGTGTTCGCATAAAACAAAATAGCCCTGCTATGTAAGAAGATCCGCTTATATAGGCAACCAAGTCAGATATGATTATATAAGATGCTACATTGCATCATCCCAGGAGAAAAAAAACGGGCAATTAACTGCTCATTAACTGCCAGTTTACAGTCTGCTTAAAAACTGCCAGTTGACAACGTGTTAACTGTCTAAAAACCACCTAAAAACTGTCTAGTTTATTGGCCG